TCCCTGGTTTGTTTTAACTGCCACAGCCAAATCTCTGTATTTGAAAGAGGCACAAGAGAGAAAGAAAGAAAGAAAGAAAGAAAGAAAGAAAGAAAGAAAGAAAGAAAAGAAAAGAAAAAGAAAAAAAAAGAAAGAAAAAGAAAAAGAAAAGAAAGAAAAGAAAACAAAAGAAAAGAAAAGAAAAAAAGGTTGATTTTGGATCTCTGTGTTAGCTATTTTTTTTCTTATTCAGCATGCTTACATTGGATTGGTTCTATTTATTTCTCTTTCATATCTCCAGAATCCTATACTCAGCTTTCCCTAGAACTTTTCCTTTGGCTGCCACTTAGCCACTTAAATTCAATAAGTAAGACCCAAATGAGGTATCTTACTCATTTACTCATAATATATATTTACATTTATAAATATATATATATATTTTTTGTTTGTTTGTTTGTTTAATGATGCCAGTTTTGACTAAGTAAGCTACCAAATCTCAAAACCTTGGAGGTAGTCTTAAATCATCCTTCTTCAATCTGTCATTCAACAGATTGACTCTAATCAATTTCTACTTCAGAGTTTTTGCTTACTGGCATTCACTCTTCTCCATTCTCACCAATATTGCCTAATCCAGTTCTCTTTCTTTTTTATTCTTTTTTTCAAAAATAACTTTATTAGTGAGACATAACATTATGGCATAAAGCACTACATCATTTGTCAGGACATCCTTTGAAAAGTAAGCACCAATGTAAAGTTAGGTAACTTCTCCAATAATTCTTATTACCAACAGCTGATTAATTTCTTCCTAAGGTAAAACATTCTTTCTACAATATGCAGAACACTCTCTTCAGCTTATTGTTGAAAGCTTTTCTAAATGGACCTGCTTCTGTCGAGAAGGAAATTTCATCTGAAAACCTACAGATGGGTCTGTGCTTGTCTGACAATAACCAATATGCTGGTGTCACATCAGCCCAGCAGTCATGGAACCAGATTTCCTGATCAGCTGTGCACAGACCAACCCCATATTTGTTCAACAGAGCATTCTTGGAAAGGCCCTGCCCTCAAGAAAAAGCCCCACACTATCCAGGGAAGAAAGCTGCTCCAGGATGGAGAGGCTAAAAGACACTGAACCTGAAGTCTTCATCAGGAGTGTCCAAGGTGGCTTTGGCTAGGCCTGCAGACCCTTCGGCTCTTCTTTCTGGTGGCCTCACTCACAGGCTACCCCTGCACCATGCAGGCTGCTGTCCTGAGAACCCACAGGTTTTGCGCCTGCTGGGCCGCCATCTGAGCCCTGTAGTCCTCAGACAGTGGGCGTGTCAGCTGCCTCCTCTGGGGCATGGGGGTTCTTTCACTGAGCAGGGTTTTGATTGCCCCAGTAGCCTTCGCTTTCTGTTTTGGACTGAGTCTCCACCTCTCGAGGCCCAGCACCTGCTGCTCCACACACTGCCTTAGTTTGATTCCAGGGAGACAGCTGGTCTACCTCAGCCTCCGCACTCAGGGGCATTTCCTCCAAGGCCTATTTTTCTGAGGCCTTTCTGCCTGAATTAGCAGCACAGAGTCCCTGTTCTGTTTTGTTTCTTAAGGGTTGCATCACTTTTATTCTCTTGGACTATTTTAAAAATCATTTCTAAATACTCCTTCATCATCCAGTCCCTTGTCTTTCTATCTATCACTGTCCTGTCGAAAGAGTTCACTTCCAAATACCCAGATTGCTTATGCCCATCTCAAACTTAAAATTTTTCAATTTTACTCTCCTTTGCCTGCAGGGTAAAGCGAAAATGTCCTAAGTGACGCTTTCTAAACAGCCCCTATTTCGTGGGCAGTTTCTCTTCTCCCTCCCCCAACCCGCACACCAATGGTACCAAGAACAATTATTTCCAATCACATCTGACTCTTTGCTATTTCCACGGAATTCCTTCTCTTTTCCTATTTCTTTCTTTTTATTTCAATTGTATGATCTACTTCAATCCTTTCCCTCTCCTCCATGAGTATACAGTTGTTTTTTACTTATTAATCAAGGTCTAAATTACAGTCAAGTCAGTCATGGAGCTTTCTCTTGCCCACTTGGCACATCAGTGCAGTTAATTATCCCCTCACCTCTTACTCTGTGCTTTTGTGCAAACCACTATTATGTAATTCATTACATCGTTTTAGATTTATTTGTGAATATTTGAGTATATTTTATGTATTGATTTTACATGTACTTGATTATCTTAAAGGAAGCATCATATATTCATCTATGCATCCCCCAGATGTTCTATAACACCTGACACAGAGATACTCAAGTCATAGTTGGGGTTTTAGGTGAACTACACTTTGGTTTCCTTCTTAACAAAACATGTAACTTCAGAATAAGTGGTTGCAGATAGATATAAGAATGACTAGAAGATAATTTTAATCAAATGCTCTGAGAATGATCTAATTCTTTAGGCTATGAATTAATCTTTTCCTAAACTAATACCCCAGACCCAGAAAGCACTCCATCTACTTCTTTTTAATCAAATATATTTTCTACAAGTGATGTTTCTTGAAACTGATTTTGAAATACAAACTTTACTTAGTGAGTTTTGGATAATCTATAGTTTTGAACTATAACAATATATAAAAAATAACAATTTTCTATAATTGTTAATGAGCTTGCCTGCTTTAGAATCATGCTTGTTATTTTTTCAAAAGACCTCAGAGAAAGGAGATGACTTAGATTAGAGCTTCTTCTCAATTTAAAAAAGAAAGATGACAAGATAAGAACTCAGGGTCACTGAGAGATTAAAGCAAGTGTTTTTTGGCACATGTAAATGAAATGTATTTTAAAAAAATTTCCAGGATTTACCTGCAAGCAGATGGCTGTAAGGTATGTAAAAGGGGGCATGAAATGTTGCCTTTATTCAGATTTATTTTTTCTAAAGGGGAATTGTGGGTAAAATGATGACAAAATAGTTTTGGATTTGCAATGCTATTTCTTATTTTATATAATGACTCAGCTTTTAAATTGTAAATCATGGCTTATAAACTTGTGCCTAATCTATCTGAAAATATGGGTAAATTCATGAATTTGAATCATCACACCAAACAGGAAATACAAATTTGTACATCTGGAGGAAATTATATTTTGAAAAAACAATTAACAGTAACATATTTTGACAGTATTTGTGTGTATGTGTGTGTGAAAGTTTAGCTTCAATAACCTGTAAAAGCAGTAAATAATGGGAAAATAAGATTTATATGAATTTATTTTTAATCAATTTTATTTATTTATTCATAGACACACACACACACACACACACACACACACACAGGCAGAGGCACAGGCAGAGGGAGAAGCAAGCTCCATGCAGAGAGCCTGATGTGGGATTCGATCCAGGGTCCCCAGGATCAAACCCCAGGCTGCAGGCGGCACTAAACCACTGCGCCACCAGGGCTGCCATAGATTTATATGAATTTAGGCTTTGTGAATGACAGAAAATGTGTGACTGGGAAATATACAGAAGTAAACAGACTTCGGTCTACACATAAATAATATTTTACACGTTTCAGAGTAGTATAATTTTAAATGAGAAAATGAAGACTGAAAACTTAATAATTCACTGCAAAGATCTAATATTTCAAAGTGTGAATATTGTATATACATGCTGTGTGCATATATAAATTTATATGCATGTATGTATTCATACACCCACACAAGTTTCTGTGTATGTAGCTTGTGACTACTTAAAACACATTTTTTTTAAAAAGTGCCATTGCATCAGTACTGCACAAGTTGTGTTGGGTTGTGGTGGGGGTTTTTTTGAAAATTTTAATATCAAGGAAACAAAACATTTGTATCTCTAATAATTAATGGAGATAATTTCCACGTTATTTATTTTTGATCAATTTCATCATAGATTTGAGGTTGTTCACATGAATAGAAATGACATAAGCCTTTAAAGATAAACTCCAGTTCTGACATTTACTAGTATAGTACGACCTTGGGGAAGTTTTCAACTTTCTTGAATGTCATTTTTTTTCCAATGTTAGTGAAAATGAAACAAGCAAATAAGCAATCTCTTTGGCATGCTATTGTGAGGATCAGATGAAATAAAATATAGGCAAGAGATAGATAGTCAATAAGAATTAGTTTCCCGCCTTCTACTCTTCATGGTAATCTTTTGCTTTTGTTTTTGCAATCATGTTCTTTTAAAGCATGTTAGTTCACTGAAGGAAAGTCCAATGTCAGGCTATAGAAGTCCTAGAAATTACAAATTTATAAGGATGCTGTTATCATTTGTCCTCATGAATATAAGTTCCTAGAACATTCATGATGTTTCATTTTAACTTAAATTTATAATCTTGGTCTAAGCCCTTCTCAAAGTCACTGATAACTGAATCCAATATAGATATCAAATATTATTTTATTACCATACCTGCTCTAGAGAAATGATCTACTGTTATTAAAAGATGAGTAGAAAAGTTAGACATTATTTCTACTATGATCATTTTATAGTGGTTTGAAACTCAGGGTCACCAAAGAATTTATTGAAGTTTTTCCAAATCTATGGTCTATCACACTCCACTTCTACGGATACATACAGAAATAACAGTTTACAATGCCTGAATTTCTATGTTATAGAAAAGAATAATGGGAAAATGAATATCAATTAACAGCAATAAAGTCATTGCTTTCATTGATTTGAAAATCCATATGCATTTATTTTATAAAAATTACAGGATTCAGTTCAGTTCCATCTGCTCACCCTCTGAAGTCAGAAAACCATGCTTTTAATTAATATCTATTTCGTATTCAAGTGGCTTACAAATCTTGATTCATTCTAAAATCTGTGGGGTAAATAAAGAGAAGTTGTCCTGAGATAACATTTCTTTAGCTCGATTCCTCACTAATTTAACTTCATGCAATTTAATACACTCCAATTGAGTTTACTGAAACCTACATGAACCTAAAAGATTTGGTGAGGTGAGGTGGGGTGTTGCTGCTTTGTTTCAAGTATCTTCTATGTGTGATGGTATAAATGTAGGGCACAACTCACGGCTGACATGATGAGTTCTCCTCCTAGGTTCTGTATTTCAGCTTTAACTTGACTGCAGATCTTCAGTTGGTGAGAGTAAAACTTAATCTGTTCCAGATAGGCCAACAAATCTTGCTTGCATGATGGATCTGGGCACTAAGTAGGCATAAAAGATAAAAGTGGAAATAGCAAAATAACTAATAAGTAGATCAGACTGAATAAATGCCAACATTGGAAGTACCTCATAAGGCAGCATCTTGTCATGGAGCCCCATTTCTCAGCCCAAGCCCACATAGATTCTGATATGCTTCCACCATTAGAGGAGTTTATTCATGTTTCAAACTTAATTACTTTAGCATAGACAATAGAAATAGTAAAGGGATTTTCAGACATGAAAAGGTACATGAAATAATTGCTTTTAAGTTATAAGATTAGAAGTCATCTTCAGATTGCATTTTTACATAAATATAAATAAATATTTTAAATGCAATTATTTAAAATAATTAATTAATTAAAAATAGGCCCCTACACTGTAATATCACCCATGAGGAACATCTTAGAGGACAGCTTTGAGCTCAACATAACACAGTAAGTATCTGTGATCTGGATTAACTCTGTGTTCTTTATTTTATGTAATCATAATAGAATTTTTAAATCCCTTACTTGCACTTTAAATATAATTTCATAAGGATGTAGAATTATGGATAATAATTTATATGCAAAATATTAATTACAGCATTATTTATAATTATAGTATTTAGAAATAACTTAAATGTCCAAAAATAGTGGAAAGATTAATATGCATGTCTATATAATGTGATACTATATAATCTCAAGAAAATATGCTCAAAAGAGGTGGGAAAATGGTTTTAGAAAGTGGAAAAAGCAGTGTTTGAAATTTATATACCATCTTAATCAAATTGCATAAATATGTGGTTGTATTTGTGTTTAAAACAGACTAGAAAATATATGAAATAAACAAACATGATACAATCAATAATTTTCATTTCCTTCCTATTTTATATTTCTTAAAATAGATATTTATAACTTCCATACTTATAAAAATGTTATTATCACAAAAGGTTTAATTCTAATGGCCTAAAATGTATATTGGAAAGTGCAAGACTGGGGCACCTGATTGACTCAGTTGGTTAAGCATCCGAACTTCTGATTTTGGCTTAGGTATTGATCTCAGGGTCATGAGATTTGTCAGGCTCCCTGCTGAGTGGGGATTCTGCTCTTCTGGGAGATTCTCCCTCTGCCCCTCCTCCCAAAAATAAATAAATAAATCTTTAACAAAAAAAGAAAAAAGAAAGAAAAGTATGATGAAAGACCAAAAAACTATTCTATGCATTTATTCTTTTACTTAGTAATTCATAATTTGGAGTGTTGCTGAAAAATTCCTGAGAATCTTATTCTCTCATATTTGCTAAATAGATTAAGACTAATTTATAGTCTTAACATAACCATAACATGTGTAGACAAGATAAGAACATACCACCCTTAGGTCAAAGTTAATCAGAAAAGGTAGCAAAGAAATTAATTCTGCAGAAATACTATCACAGCCTAGACTTTTAAATGAATAGACAGATACATATAACCAGCTAGCCAGCCAATCAGCCAAGAGGATAATGAGACCTTGACGTTGAGAATGCCTCTCAAATTTTAAAGAAGGAAGTAAGGGTAATCTCCCAAATTTCAAGAGGATTAACTGTAACTAGGAAGAAAAAGAAGAAGGAAAAGAAGGACAAAGAGAGAGAGAAACAGGGGAAGTGAGGAAGAAGGAGGAGGAGGGAAAAAAAAGAAAGGATTTCCCTCAATTTATAGATGAGAAATCATAAATTTTGAAAAGAGAGACACCTGGGTGGCTCGGTTGAGCATCTCAGGGTGGGATTCTGGAGTCCTGGGATCAAGTCCTATATAGAGCTCCTTGCATGGAGCCTGCTTCTCCTGTCTCTGCCTCCCTCTCTCTGCCTCTCTCTGCCTCTGTGTCTCTCATGAATAAGTAAATAAAATCTTAAAAACAAAAAGAAATTTTGAAAACATAATAACTTCCCCAGGAGTGAAGAGGTGTGTGTAGAGCCAGATTTGAACCCAAACATATTTACTTTCAAATCTCTTTTAGAGGTTCCTGGGTGACTCAGCGGGTTAAGTGTCTGCTTTCAGCTCAGGTCGTGATCTTGGTGTCCTGGGATCAAGCCTGCATCTGGATCCCTGCTCAGTGGGGAGTCAGCTTCTCCCTCTTGCTCACCTTTTCTGCCCTTCCCCCAACCTGTGCTCACTCTCTCTTTCTCAAATAAATAAATAAAACCTTTTTTTAAAAATCAATTTTATTTTAAATCACTAACTCAAGAGAATTGGAAGTGCATTTTTAAAAATCACAGAACACTAAGAACTGCATAGTTCCAAGGAAATAGAAAATTCATAGGAACACTGTCTCCAGCACTGTTCTATAGTAGAGAATACTTATTTTTTTTTCAAAGACCAAAAACTAGTTATTTAGAATTACCTACAATGACAGAAGGCATCACATTGTTTTACCATGACAGGAAGTTGATCATTACTAAGTACGTTCTATGTGCCATATCCTTTGTGTTAATAATTTTGTTAGTATCCCACCATGCCATTGTACTTGGGCTTATAATGTTATTTCTCACATTTGCAGACTGAGTTTTGGAGAGAGTATATGATTTGTCTAAAGATTTGAATTCACTTTTCTCTGTTTCATTCACTGCACAATGATGTCTCCTATAGGATATGTATTCAAAGTGCCTTTTTCTTTGTCCTCACTGGGTGATGGTCCATATCTATTCTTTGTTCCTATGGATGGACTCAATGATAATCCTTAACACATATAGTGTTTTATATGTCACATACTATTCTAGGTGTTTTACCTTTATTAACTCTTTTACTAATCACCAGCTCTAAGAGGTAGATTCTATCACTATTTGGCAAAGGAGGAAACTGAAGCACAGAGAAGTTAGCTGACTCATCCAATTAATAAATGGTAGAGCTGGTATTCAAGCTCACATGGTCTGGCTACACATCCCTTCCTTCACAGTCTAGGAACAATATCAGTCTTCCTGCCAGTTTTATCTTATATAATAAATGATTAATTGCCACTCTGATTTGTAAATTGATTTCTTAAATTGACACTCTTATTTGTAAATTGTAAGTAGGAATAGTGTTAAAGACCAGTACCACTACATATTTATGATAAAATTGAACATTCAAAGTAATAATTAGGTTCTTAAAAATTTATTTATTTATTCAAGAGAGGGACAGAGAGAGTGGGGGAGGGAAGAGAGAGAGAGACAGAGAGACAGAGAATCTCTAACAGATTCTCTTCTGAGCATGGAGCCTGGGGCAGAACCCAGCCCACAACCCTGAGATCATGACCTGAGCCAAAATCAAGACTTGGAAGCTTAACAAACTGAGCCACCCAGGCACCCCTAATAATTATATTCTTGACCAATAACCGATGCTGCAATCACCCAAGGTTAAGAAAAACATATACTTTCTCTCAAGAGACTCTTCAAGGCCATACTATGATTGTCTAATTCTCTTAAGGAAACAGTGAGTCAAAGAGTACAAAATGTGAAGTTCAACTTTTGAAATTAAGTTTGTTTGACCCAGATTCACCCTTTATTTCCAGAACTGATGAGAATTCCTGGTTACACCTAAAGACCATAGTCAGTTACACAGGTGAAGTAGAAAAACATACAGTTGGTAAATTCCACCCCATAAAAGTCATTAAAGCCTTCTTTTCTATTGACACTTAGCCTTTCTGAGTCGATTTTGGCTGCCTTATAGCAGAATCAGGAGAACGAATCATTCTCACTTTAAGAATGCTCTTCTAGGGACACCTGGGTGGCTCAGTGGTTGAGCATCTGCTTTCAGCTCAGGGCATGATCCTGAAGTCCTGGGATTGAGTCCCACATCAAGTTCCTCACAGGGAGCCTCCTTCTCCTTTTGCCTATGTCTCTGCCTCTCTCTCTCTCTCTCTCTCTCTCTCTCTGTGTGTGTCTCATGAATCAATAAAATCTTAAAAAAAAAAGAAAAGAAAAAAAGAATGCTCTTCTATTATCTGCCAAACTCCCTTTAAAAATCAAATAATCTTCCCTCTACCTTTTATATTTTTCCAAGAGGATGATAGAAAAAGTTTGGGCCCTAGATCTTTAAAACATTCATGCCCTTGACTTTTATTTTCAAATAAAATTTGTATTAAATAATTCTGGGGGTGCCTGAGTGGCTCAATCAGCTAAGTGTCCAGCTTTTGATTCTGGTTCAGGTCATGCTCTCAGGGTTCTGGGATCGGCCCTGAGTAGGGCTCCATGCTCAGCAGGGAGTCTGCTTAAGATTCTCTCTCTGTCCTCTGTCCCTCCTCTTGCTCATGCTCTCTCTTTCAAATAAGTAAATAAATCTTAAAAAAAAAAAAAAAAACTTTTAAAGAACACTGTTGGTGACTTTTAGGCAACTCCAGTGGTTGAATAGGATAGCACATATTGGTTATTATTTTCCAGTTTATTAAGACAGGAAATGTTGACCAAGACATCTGGTTAACTTTTTAATACATTGATTTTTTTTTTTTTTTTTTTTAGTTTTTAACCACTAGGACACTCACTACAGGCAAGCAGGCAAGTAGATGGCATGTGAGCCTAGGTGGTTTTCTCACAATTAAACCAGCCTTCACTCTTCCAGCAAGATGCTTGGTACCAATACAGAATACATCATTTCAGAATGAGAGACAAGTAAAAAACATTTATTACCTTTCAGTCCAAATCTTAAAAGTGAATTAGCAAAGTGAATACTTTTAAAGATCTTTATTCCATAAGCTTTGCAACTTTTTGTCCACATTGGAATATGAATTTTATTTAAGACACATTTAAAATGACTTTTGTAACTACAGACAGCCATTTAAATTCTGCTACGGTGACAAAGTTTGTTAATAAAAAGTATTAGGTGTCGGTGTGAATTTCTAGAACAGAAATTTCAAGCAATCAGTGATAGCAAAGGGCTTGAGTCCATGACTTTTTCCTTCCCTCAGGGTTCATTTCTCCACTTCTACTCCAGTTCAGAGGCTGTCTCATTTCATGTTCCTCAGGATCATAGATTACCAATAATCCCATCTTTTTCTGCACTTTTAATGTCTCTTTTTTCTATCCTTTAATCTTTCAACATAATATCCCTCCGGACAAAAACCTTCCCTCAACCTTATAATCCTCATCTCTCTTCGTGTTCACAATCATGACTTCTAAAAATTTTTCAGCGTTGCCTCATTCACATTCTTGGTTTTTGTTCTTGGGCATCTTTTCATTCTCATCCTCTTCTTAAGCAAGAGTACACACTATCACAGCTTCAACTATTACAAAATACAAATAACGAAATCTTTGTCATCCAGTCCTTTCTCCAGAAGATACACATGGATTTTCCCAGTCCATTATTTGCCCCATCATTTCATACTCAACACATATAATCTTCAACTCTTTCATAACACACCTTACCTACTATAAAACCTATTTTTCCTTCTATTAACCATCTCAATAAGGAGTGCTTTCTCTCTCTCTCTCTCTCTCTCTCTCTCTCTCTCTCTTTCCTATTAAAGATGGTCAGTTACCAGGATGCCTGGGTGGCTCAGTAGTTGAACATCTGCCTTTGGCTCAGGGTGTGATCCTGGAGTTCCAGGATTGAGTTCCACATCGGGATCCCTGCATGGAGCCTGCTTCTCCCTCTGTTTATGTCTCTGACTCTCTCTGTGCGTCCCTCATGAATAAATAAATAAACTTTTTAAAATAAAAAAAATATGATCACTTACTAATTTGGGATGATTTTACACCTTGAATCCCAGAACACTTGAAACATTTTTTTCCCTTTTGATGTTGATCACTTCTGCTATTTAGCAAACTGAGGTTTCTATTACTCAGCCATAAAAAAGAATGTCTTGCCATTTGCAACAACATTGATAGACCTAAAGGGTATCACACTGAATGAAATAAGTCAGACAGAGAAAGACAAACACCAGATGATTTCATTTATATGTGGAATCTAATAATCTAGCCAACCAAACAGACAGAAGCAGAAATTGTCTCATAAATACAGAGATCAATTTGATAGCTGCTAGAGGGGAAGGGTAAGGGATAGATAAAAGGGTAAAGGGGAGTGGGAGATACTAGCTTCTAGTTATGGAATAAAAGGTAAACAAAGGTACAATCATAGAAAATATAGTGAATGGTATTATAATAATATTGTGTGGTGACAGATGGTAGTTACACTTGTCCTGAGCACAGCATAACAGATAGGGTTGTCAAATCACTGTGTTGTACATCTGAAACTAATGTAACACTGTGTGTCAACTGCACTTAAAAAAATACAAAAATAATATATTTTAGTATCTATCTATTCCTATTTAATTCCTGAGAATTGCTATGCATTTAATTTTTTTATAAAGTTCATTAATCTGGAGAACAAATCTAGGCATCAATATCTGCCCAAAATAAATTTTAGGTAGATAACAGAATCAAAATACAAATATTGTCATAAGATGCATCTGGAAATTATATTCTTAAGGGACATGTTAGAATAATATAATAAATGCTTCAGAAGATTCTTTTTTGCATACGTTTTAAAATGCATTTTTGACTCTCACAACATCAGTAGGGAAACAATTCAAATGAAGCAAGCCACTGACAATATTCTGTCAAAATATCAATATAGATTGCATCTGTCAGCTGTTTCATTCATAGTTAAATGTATTGTGTGTGAATTGGCTTGTAATCCTTCATCTTGTTTTCTAAATACCATCCCTTCTTGAATTAGCATTGGTTTTCATTATTTTTAACACCAAAATTTCATTTTAATTGTGTTCAGTTATGATGAGGTGGAGGTACCCAGTAGATATTGCGGATATCTTTGCTTTGGCAAAATTACAGTGAAGGAGTATTATAGGCTTCAGACACACCACTCAGTGGTAAGAAAGTCTAATTTTATCCTCCCCTTATGCCAGACACTTTACCAGATATTCATCTTATTTTGGTTCCTATGTACATCTCATTCCTATTTGGGATATACAGCTTTTCTAATTAATTTAGATCTATGTACTTTTTCTACCTTTTGAGGTGTTATTCACCTAATTTAGAATACCTGCTTAACACCATGAATTACAGTGTAGAGTTGAGGAATAGAAAGAGTTGTGTACTAAGAGTCTGGAATCTTGGATTTGTAAGAAGAGTACTTTTCTAACTTGTCATTCTCTTTATTTGTGAGGAACATGTTTAAGAATTGTAATAGTGGGACACCTGGATGCCTCAGCAGTCAAGGATCTGCCTTCAGCTCAGGGCATGATCCTTGGTGTGGAGATTGAGTCCTGCATAAGGCTCCTTGTGATGAGCCTGTTTCTCCCTCTATGTTTCTGCCTCTCTCTCTGTGTCTCTCATAAATAAAATCCTAAAAAAAAATGTAATAGCTAACAACAGCAATTGTACTGTTGTTAGCTATTACAATTTATTCCTTTAGGAATATAGACAGAATTTGTACCAGAGTTTTACAGAACTTAAGCAATACATCTTTTTTTTTTATTTTATTAAGCAATACATCTTGAAAGGCATATATGACCTACCACACCATGTCAAGATACCTCCAAAGCCTAAAAGATATTGGCTGATTGGGACAATTGAGCTTATGTTAAGAGTTCTAGATGTTAAAACAGTTAATTAAGATACAGTCAGAATAGTAAATTGTATTTGGCTACACACAATAAACATATGTTCAAGGAAGTAAAACAGGGAAGAAGAGTGGAAAAAAATTAAAAAAAAGAAAGAAAGAAAAAGGAAAAAAAGGAAGTCCAAGTAGATAGAATTAGGAACATTATTGTAATTTCATTTCATTTTCTCTGCATATGAACTTTGACTCTGGAATGTTAGAGAATGAAACTAATTTCATTTAGCACTATATATATATAGATAGATATAGATATCATAAGTCTATGTTGGGTGGAATTGAAAACTGATTGATGTTTGATCTTCTAACACTCTAGTAGCAAATAGACAAGAAAAAAATCATAAAAATTATTAAAAATTTTTGAACTAATTAGGTTGTTCAAAATAGGAAGCAATCAATATTCCAACAGATATTTTTTTCATAATACACATACACTCTGAAAATTGCCTTGCTTATATTATTCATTTGCATTCCACGATAAATTTCAGATACTATTTACTAAGTTTTTTGTTGTTTTTAATCTATCAAATAATATCAGAAGCACAGTCATAGACAATCTCCCCAGATGATCTCTATAGTGACAATCAGTTTCATAATTCTCATTTTTGATTCTTCAGAACCCTATTTGTTTAGAACAAAAGTAATTCATTTGAAACTACTCTCCTATATGAAGTGGAAAAAGCCAAAGAGGGCCATCTATAATTTCATTATTCAATGACTGTTTCTTTAATCTTCTCCCAAAATGTACAAGCTGTATGAAAGTCAGACAATACTTTTATTTTCTTCCATGTAAAAAAGCTAAAACAATGGTATAACGGATACATTTGTATCCATATACCATGGATAAAGCTAAAAACAATGGTAAAATGTAATAAAGCTACATTATAAAAGTACTTGTAGCAAGGTGATTCTGACATAATTAAAAAAGATCAATATATGGAAAAAACTTCCAAGTGACACAACTATTTAGTATATCTCTGATGCTCAAAAATCTAAGAAATAATAAACACTAAAAATAATAATAATGATGCCTTAAGAAATAATCTTCCTTAGAATGAATTGCTTACTACTTGTGTATTAATTATGCAGTAAGATTTTTAAATTATAACTTAGGAAAAAGCAATCCAATAAATTAAAAATCTAACTTTGTTTTAATCAGTTTGCATGGTAGAGAGCAATTTAAAAAGACTTTCATCATGTCTATTTCTAGAGAACTCACCTGGTTTGCAATCTGCCGAGCAAGGACATCCATCCTTGATCCTGATTCTGATATCATTTTAGCTGCATAGATCACATCAGTGGTATGCTTTAGTGGTCCTTTGCCCCTTAAAGTAGAAGAATACATGTTAGTTGCAGTAGCTTATGCTAAGATACAAATGCAAACACACGCACACACACACATGAGTCTGCCCCCCCCCCCCCAGAGTACTGGCTATTTACTTTACATCCTTCAGTTATGGAGAGACACCAATTAGATAGCAATATTAAACGGAAAATGAAAAACAAAAGAAGTCTCATTGTGTTGAGATTCAGGAAATACTGCCAAGAAGATGGACTTCATTAGATTTTCATTCTCAGGTATTTTTAATAGTAGATATCTCAAAGCAATAGTATTTTACTAATTATAAGAGGAAATATGAGATTTCAGACCATATATATATATATATATATATATATATATATATATGGTCCAAATATATATATATAATACTGAATACATATATATAGAATATTGTATATATATAATATATTGAATATTGAATATATATATATATATTCAACATTGCATTTTCATCACCAGGTCTACTTTTTAATCTTCCTATTTATAATCCTTTTTTTTAATAGTCTTCCAGTTAACTGCATTTTGTTTTGGCCACATATCTTCTCCACAATGCATTGTAGCATCATAGTAACACTAAGTATGAATCTGGAGTCACACTATCTTGGACCACTTCATATTGTTTGTTTAAGTCAAATGAGATAAATAGACACTCTATGTCCCAGTTTCCTTGGTGGTAGGCAGTAAGAACACATACCACATGGAGTCATTCTAATGATTATCTGATCCATTGTCTAAAAAGTGCTCAGAACTTGGCTTTATAGAAAATAAGCATTCAATACCACCAGTTGTTATTGTTGGCAGTTGTTACTTTAAAATAGTTTTGTTTCCAAATGCCATGGAATAATAGTTGGGTTCACTTATGAGATTTACAAGACAGGTAAGAAGAAAAGTGCATGTCTTACACTTAAGGACTGGGATAACATAAGGAAATATTTTTCTATCTTCTCTTTCTTCCAAAATAAATGATTACCTAAAGAATGGGAACTTCCATACACCCCAACCACTCTTTTCCCTGTGTCTGATTCCTTACTCTCTTCTGTCAATATGCTGACCATTCTAATTTGGTTTCTGTTCCTTGTCCCTAGCACAGAATGAATGGAAGGAATCACTGAATCACTTATGATTCAGTGATGTGACGTGATGATTCACATCATCAAAAGTGTTTTGATGCTTCTGAAAGAGCAGAGAGTGAAGGAGGTGTGAGGAAAGATTAAGCTGGTCAGTGTGAGAAAAGGAAGATTCTAAGAGGCCAAAATACAGTGGAGTTAGAAGAGAAGGGGAACAGAAACAATCTCTGTCCCTGTCTTATTTACACCTTGGATGGGTCTTTGGAATAGATGTCCTGATACAAAATCTAATGAGATTTATCACAGAGGAAAATCTCTTACTAAGGAGACTGCCATTGTGTAGCAACAAAAGAGGGGATTCATGCAAAGATAAATGATGAGAGTATTCTATACTTAAAAACTGGAATACCAGAACACTTGTGCCCTGTATGCCAAAATGGCCCTTTCACTGCATTTTTCTCATGACGCCTCTCAAATTCATTATAAGCAGGTTTTCGAGTAAGAATGGAATTCCATGTTTAACACAGTGAAAACCTGGCCCTGGTATATCGTTATCACCATATTTCTCCTCCGAATATACTAGCATAGGTTGCTTTGTGATTTTTTAAAAAATTGACATTAATTACTACAATGTTTGAGTTGCTCTTATCACATTTACTTAATGCATCAAGCAGAACTAGATGTTATGTACATGGTTATGTTCACAAAAGGCAATGTGCTTCATTATTTCCATGCATCCCTAGAGAAAGTTAAATTTAAATAAAGCTGTCTAAGCTTGAAAGGCAATGTATCAATATTCCAGGTCTTAAGCAATGGACAAAGGTTGTTTGCAGCGAACACTCTAGTAGCTTAGACAATGGACAGAATTACATCTAAGGAATGCAAGCTAATGTACACTTCCCCATCAAAATAATATATTTCCCAATATAAAAACCCTAGACTGATGAAAGGGAAATTACCTTTCGCTTTAAATTCATACATTGTTATGAGACCACTATCTTAAACACATGTAGAACTTAAAAGTAATGACAGACCACAATTATTCTATTCTTCATGTTCCTAATTAAATGTATTGCCTGGCAAGCTTCCTACTGAGTGCCAAACAAAATACACATTTTACAAATGATTCCATATCATGCCAAGCTTCCAGAGGAGCTGCAATTACTGAAACTATGATAAATTTTTAACATTCTAGCCTGAAATGCTGAAGTGCTATGTAATGAGGCTTTTTAAATTGGGAAACGCATTCAAAGGTTGTTTGCTGCCTTCATTTTCATAATGGGTTCTCAGGATCTCCTGTCAGCAAATTGTGTCTTAAATCATTGAGTTTGGATCCAACTGAGAAAGATACCCAGAAGAGGATGGGATAAACTTTAGAAATATTTTAAAGAAAGTGGAGGCCAGAAACCTTTGATAAATGGTGGCTGCGATAATAATCTATTTCCTCTGAAAGGACAGCAGATCTAGCTCCGGAGTAGGGAGTCTGCCAACTATTCATTAAAATATAGGTTAGAAGGTATAATGGGAAAGCAATGTGCTTGCCATGGAAAAGTCTTTTAGGCAAGTGAAAGAGATACCTTTGCAACTTATTGGTATAACATTTCAGCCATTTTTGACCCTGCCCCAACCTTGACTCCCATTCCTCCCACAGCCTCACCCCATTTTTGGCATCCACCTCTCCTTTCTTTTTGGATTATCACAAGAAATGAGATGATACAGCTGATTAGTAACAGCTTTGTCTTTTCAGAGACAGAAAATATCTATGAAATTATTTGATATTTTCTGCCAGTGATTAAAAACAAAACAAAACAACAAAACAAAACTTTATAATATATTGTGTACTTGGTAACCCATACATTTTTGATTACATAATATTACTTCCCTTTTCAAGATCAAAAACCATCCTTTTAATCTTCTTCTCCTTTGCTATTCATATAGAATAAGTCCCATGACATTGTGGCTCACTTAATGAATGAATACAATGATAAGTATATATTTTGTTCCATAACAGTAGCTAACACATTTAGCATTTCTATGGGCTAGGCACTATTCCATACACAAACTGATTTGATCATTATAATAACACTATGAGTTTAGAATTATTGTTATCCTTATCCGGCAGATGAGGAAACTGAAGAATAGAGATGTTAAATACATCTTTTATTAAGTTACACAGGTAGTAAGTGTTAGAGACAGGATTTGACCCCAGGCAATCTGGTCACAGAATCTGCTTTTAATAACTATCTTATACTTCTCCCAATAAAACATGCTAAGATAAAATTAAAATATTAATTTTAATTGTTAACTAGACTTATTGTGATAATTACACTTACAAATATCGAATCATTTTTTAAAAGATTTTATTTATTTATTCATTGCAGACACAGAGAGAAAGAGGCAGAGACACAGGCAGAGGGAGAAGCAGGCTCCACGCAGGGAGCCCGATGCGGGACTCGATCCTGGGTCTCCAGGATCACACCCCAGGCCAAAGGCAGCACTAAACCACTGAGCCACTGGGGCTGCCCTTGAATCATTTTTAATACTTGAAACTAATATGTTACATGTCAATTATACCTCAAGAAAAAGATAATAAAATATATATAGGAAAAACTATTAGAAAGATGTCCTCAGCCATTGATGGCAGTTACCATAAATGCAAGAGACAGCAAAGACAAGGGTTAGATTTAGGAGCTGGGTGGTTAAGAGGTCCGCCAACAGGGACTTGTGCATGTACAATAGCCTCAAGGAACACAAGCTAAATCTGTTTCGTAGTCCCAACAGAATAAAACTGTGCTACATTACAGAGACATTTAAAGCCATGACAAATGCCTAAAATGGTATCAGTACTTTATAGACCTGGGATTTCTTTCTTGAGATACTATTACTTTTCTCTTTTACTTATCTCAGTACCCCTTACTCTGTCTTCCCCTTTCCTTGAATTCTTAATACCAAACTCAAACTCAGCCATTTCGTAAGCCATACTAGAGGGGAGATTGCAATTGGATGTTTATTTACAATACAAGACATAGAAATTTGATCTAACAATATTAGCTTTAGATATAGTTATTTTATTTAAGTCTAACACTCAAATTTGCTGTTGCAATAGGGTGAAATGAATAAGGACTCAGTAAATACATTTTGTCTGCATCCCAGTTCTGTTACATATGAGCTGTGTAGCCTTGGATAAATAACAGTTGGTCTGAACTTATTTTCTCTTCATTAAAATGATTATGATACTTGCCACACAGTAAGGATTTATGAAATCATTTATTTTTCCACAGTACTTGGCACATACTAGATGCTCAGCAAATGTTACTTTTTTCTTTTCTTCATCCCTTTATGAATAATGGTGTTTTAATAAAAAAGTTGTTTGCCTTTTTATTTAAAAATTACAGTACTTGCCAAACAATATGAACAGACTTCACACAATTGAATTTTTTCTTATACCTGATGACAATATAGCCCTGTATAACCATGTTCATAATATCCTTTCATAGGTTATAAAATATATACACCCATAAACTGTATGTTCGTAGTCATTATTGTTGTTCAAGGCTGTTCTTTAATTCCTTATGAGGAGTTGATTTAGATGTAGTGACATATTTTTGATGGTATAAGCCTTCCAAGATAAGTGCTTTAGCTTTACAAGGGTACCATCAGAATTCTCTTACTCTAATTCTGAAAGTAGATAGAAAAGAAAGAAGTAATTATCATGAAAGCAACCAAAAAATGATGAGATAAAGAGAGGTACCAGACTCAAGCAAGGACACACTGTTCTGCTTCTGTTCAAACATGAAATTTTAGTTAGGCGATTCTCTCCCTCCGGATGTTACTTTCTCTTGTAAAGTGTTATTCTCAAGTTTTGAGGACTCTGTAAAAGTCCTTGGAAAACCAGCAAGTGAATAATCTGCTAACA